TCACAGAACTGAGGAGTGTCTGTGAGGTTTTGTGACATATGGGAACAGGAGCAATCTCAGGAAGTCATGAAGAATGACGATAGAGATGACGGGTTGATGGCTACATGATAGATGATGGGTAAGTGGGTGGGAGGAGAGAGAATGAAGACACACACATACATACGCGGGTTGGGGAGGGAGAGAGTGAAACAGATACACACACATACAGAGAGAGGGGAGAGAGAGAAACACACACACACAGACACACACACACATATGCATGGAGAGAGAAACAGATACATATAGACACACATAATTTTTAACATTTTAGAAGAATATTTATTTTATTTTATGTATGTTTGTGCACTGTGTGCATTCAGGAACCGGCAGAAGTCAGAGGCAGTGTCAGGCGCCCCAAAACTGAAGTTACAGAAAACTGAGTCACCATATGGGTGCTGGGGACAGAGCCTTGGTCCTCTGTAAGAGCATCAAGCACCCTTACCCACTGAGTCATTTCTCTTCAGCTCCTAAATTTTTTAATTAATTAATTTTTAAAAATGATTGTTCTCTGCCTTAATCAGCCCACCTGCCATTCTAGGCTGATGACTGATTTCAAAAGCTCTTAAATTACTTGCCTGGATTTCATAACTCAAGTTATTATGAAATGAGAATTTTCTTATTGCAAAGTGAGGATCATTGTTTCTCACATCTCCTCTATAAAACGGTGTTTTATGTGCAAAGAAGCTTTGTGTAATCTCCTGCACACATCAAGTGATTGTTAGATTTCTTATCATGCCCAATGCAACATAAATGCTATTTAAACAGTTATTACACTGTGGAGTTCATGGATTAAGTAGAAAAGAGTCTGAACCAGTTCAGTCAGGCCTCCAGGTGTTAAGATTATAGGTAAGCACCATTAAATTTCGATTCTAATACAATAACCACTTTTTAAAAACCATTTATTTGGTTTTGTGTGTACATATACCACAACACACATGTTGAGGCCAGTGAACAACTTGCAGAAGTGGATTCTCTCTTGCCAAGTGGATTCCTGTGAATAGAGACTGCACTTTCATTCCAGCTGTACAGACTCAAATAATCACACAGAAACTATATTAATTACACTGTTTGTCCAATGGCTCAGGTGTATTCCTGGCTAGCTCTTACATCTTAAATTAACCCATTTCTACATATTAAGTATATAGAATATAATTCTATATTATATTTATAATTATATTCTATAATTAAATATAATATACTAAATATATTAAATAATCTATATATTGCCACAAATCTGTGGTAATGTTCTAGCATCTTTCTTCTTTGTGAGTTTTGGGCCAGCCTGGTCTACAAAGCAAGTTCCAGGACTGCCAGAGAGGCACAGAGAAAACACAGTAAAGCAAAAAAGACATTTATTGTATCTTGTATGAATTCCTGAAGTTTGCTTTTTCCTTTTTTACATCATACACTTTTTAAGAAGATAGTAACAATATTAGATATGTTGGGTGTCATCATGAATAAGATTACTTTTTCTTACTATATCTTTATAAAGAAAAGTTACTTTTGAAAAACATTTTAATGGGCCAGCAAGATAGCTCAACCAGTAGAAGTCCTGGCCATGCCCCAAGTTTGATCCCCAAGACCTCATGGTGGAAGGTGAGAACAAGTTCCCAAAAGTTGTCCTCTGGCCTCCATACACATGCACATCCCCATATTCAAAATAAATAGGTTAATGGAATAGAAAATCAAGATGGAATTTAAAAATATTTTATCCAGTTGCCTACTCATCTACTGTTTTATTTTTCCATTGATTCTTTTCAAGTTGCTTGGCAGTGAACAGTGGAGAGTTTGTCATCCTAGTGAAAGTAACAAGGGAGTCTTTAGAAGAGTTTCTGTGATGCTGGATGCTGTTGTTCAGTGCTTCCCAAACACTGAGTGTTGACTTGTGATAGCAACTTCCATGGATAGGTGTTCTCACCATCTGTTTTCTCTTCCTCGTTTTTTGTAACATAGTTTCTGTGTAACAGTCCTAGCTGTTCTGGAACTTGCTTTGTAGACCAGGCTGGCCACAAACTCACAGAGATCCTCCTGTCTCTGCCTCTCAAGTGCTGGGATTTAAAGGCATGCACCACCACTGCCCAACTTGTTTTCACCATCTTTACAGATGAGGAAAATGAGGATTAGGAAGTAAGTAACAGAGCCAGGAGGTGAAGCCAAGTACTCTGGCTCCAGGATTCAGGCATGACATCACTCAGGCAGGTTGATAGGCAGTGCCCTTCAGTGCACAGGAAGCTCCTTTCCCTTGTCACAGCTGTACAGTATTCTCTTGCAAGAATGCCGCAACAAACATATTTGTAATAGTTCTCTATTAAAAGTGACAATTCAATAGTTAGCCTTCCGCACAAATAATTTCATATGCAGGTATAAAAATTAGCATAAGCTCCTTAGGTCTAAATGGGTAGATGCATTTCATAACCAAATAGAAATGTTTTAGCAACCTAGGAATAGACAGGCAATACCTAAAGAATATGAAGAACATCTAAGGAAAAAATGTAATTAGCTTCATGTTATTGGCAGAGTGGCCCACATCTGTCATCCAAACACTCAGGAATATGCAGCTCTGCAGCAGGAAAATTTCCTTGAGAGTTTGAAGTCATTCTGAGCTACATAACAAGTTCAAGGCTAGCCTGAGCTACACAGGAATACCTTAGGAAGAGGGGAAGAAGTGTCATATTTAGTGTCATATTTAATGGGAATAGAATAAGGCAAAAAGTTTATTTTCATAACACTGTTCATTATTTCTGGAGATACTAATCATTCCAAAAATGTTAAAAAAAAATGTAAGATCACAAAGGAAGCAAAATCGTCCCCATTTGGGAGTAGTGGGATGGTTATACTAAGAATTATTAAAATTAACACATGAATTCATCAAGGTCTGGAAATAGAAAGCTATCTGAAGAAAGGTCTAGTATTTTCTTGGCAAATCAACAATTAGAAGGGACTGGAGAGATGGTTCAGTAATCAAGTAGCTACTGGGGAGACACTCATCAAAAACAGAACGAAGTTTGAAAATCAACCTCCACATGTAGGGTCGACTAACTTTTGACTACAGTAATACGGTAATCCTTTCAACAAGTGCTGAATCTAAGCATGGAAGAGATGAACAATGACTACTTAAAACTTAGATCAAAACCGGCCACTGCCCTAAACCCTAATGCTATAAAATAATAATAATAATAATAAACTTGTAGAAAATGTAGGAGAAAAATTTTTACCAAGGAAATTTTTCTTAAATATATAAAAGCCAACAAAATAAAGAAAAAATTATCTTTCAAAATTAAAGATTTTTTGGGGTGGGGGTATTGGGCCTCCAATGAGATAGATCAGCAGGTTAAGGTGTAGGGTAACAGGGACAACTGGAGCAGGAAACCGACCAATCACTGAGCACCCTGACTCTGAACCCAGAGTCAGAGAAAGAAACACACCTTATATTTGAGGCCTGAACCAGGAAAGAAACATCTTTATCCCTGTACCCAGGACTAAAGACATGTGCCCTGGCTCTGAAACTAGTGTCAAAGAAACACACGTTGTCCCTAAAATTAGGGAAACTAATTTCCAGTGAAATAAATACGCGCTGGTCCTAAGATTAGAGTCACAAAGCTAAAAAGGACCAGTGAAAGAAACACAGTTTGGCCATGAAGTCAGAGCCATTTCTGTCCTGACCAACTAAACTGACCAATCCCTGAGAAGGGAAAAATTAACCAATCCCCTTTCTCCCTGGGAAGACTCCTCCCGTAAGAAGTCCTATATAAGCCTCTCCACCCCTTCTGTTGAGAGCTGGCAGAGGCAGCCACTCTCCTGGATTCCTCCTTCCCAAATAAATTGCTTTCTCAAAATGGATAGAGCTAAAAAACATTATTTTGCGTGAGGTAACCCAGACACAGAAAGACAATTATCACATGTACTCACTCATAAGTAGTTTTAAACATAAGGCAAAGAAAACCAGCTCACAAATCACAATCCCCAGATTCTACTCCTCTGTTGCTTTTATGAGCTGTATAGTTTTGGTTCTTACAGTTAATTCTGTAGTCTATTTGGGCTTAGTTTCAGTGTGATATGTGAGGAACCCATAAAAATTAATTATGTTTGTTTGTTTTTGTTTTTCGAGAGAGGGTTTCTCTGTGTAGCCCTGGAACTCATTCTGTAGATCAGGCCAGCCTCAAATTCACAGAGATCTGCCTGCCTCTGCCTCCCAAGACTGGGAGTAAGGCATGTGCCACCACTGCCCAGCTCACAAATCCATTCTTTTCAATGTAGGTATGGAGTTTTTCCAGTCACTTGACTGGTTCTATTCCCCTGTCTTTTAATGAATATGGACTCGTCAAAATATTATTGACCATAGACACAAAGATTAATTTCTGGACTTTTCCATCTATTCCATGAATCTATCTATCTCCATGCCTTGATCACTGAAAGTTTGTAGTATCTTTTGAAATTGAGACGTGTCCCTTGACTTCCTTCTCTTCCAAGACTGCCTTGGCTGTTCTAGCACCCTTGCATTCCTATATAAATTTTAGGAACATCTTGTCAGTTTCTACAAAATGTAAATGCTCTTTAAAGATTCTTGAAACATTGAGGGAAAAAGTGTTTGAATTTAATGTAAAAATATACTATCAAAAATATTAAAGCTTTGGAATGCATATAAATAGCTTTTGAACTAAATCAAAGTTAATTAAATCAGAAGAAATGTGGGGGTTGGTGAGCTGGTTAAACTTTAAGCACATGTGTTCTTGTCAAGGACCTAGGGCTGACTTCAACACTCACATGTGGCTCGCAACTCTCTGTAGCTCCAGGTCCAGGGGAGTCAGTGCTCTTCTGACCTCCAAAAGCCCCAGGCACACACATAGTGCACACACATGCGTGTGCAGGCAGAACACTCACACACAAAGAATAAAATTTTTAAAAATATGAAGACTTTGTTTTTTAATAATATGCTACCAATTTAGACTTACTTTCTGGAAACGAATAGGAGGGAGAACATTCCGTGCCTGTCACCACATTTTCATTGGTTATATTATTTTTAACTACTGGATTTCTCTATAAGTCATAATCTCTGCCAATATGCTTGCTTTAGTTCTTTATTTAGACTTATGTAAATTAGTCAGTCTTCTCACCACATTGTCTTCATACTTGAGACCTCTGTTTTCATTCCTTTCTTGAGTCACTGAGTTTCTTAGACAAGCAACATTTCCAGAGGGCTCGTCAGTGTTACGTCCCATGCATTCTCTGCCCTTGGTAAAGCTACCTCACTCCGTCTTTGTCCTTGAAGAATGGTTTGCCTGGTGTTAGGAGATTTGGGTCAGACACATGTATTTTTCTTCCAAAAACTTTTAGTTATTCTACTATTCCTTCCAAGATTGCCACATCATCTCTTCATGGACTAGATTCATCGTCATATTGACACATCCAAGAAACACACATGAATGCTGTAGTCCTTGAATATTTTCATGCCTAGAAATGCCCGCTTGCTGCATTTACAACAGAGGTTCAGGTGACTAGGTGTTGAGCTCGAAGGCTCTGCTTTCGTTCAGAGCTTGAAGGCATGACTCCATTATCATCTGGCATTAATATTTCCCCAGAGAAATCTGAGCCACAGAAATGTGAGGTCAACGGTTTTCTCTTATTTTTGTGCTGAAAATCTAAAGAAGTCTTTCTTTCCATAAGAAACTTTAACAAACAAACCCAATGATGTCTACTTTTCCCTCAGTTCTGGGCCTTAAACCAAGGTTTTAAGTGTGCTAAGGAAATGTTCTGTCTTTACACCACATCCCTAGTTCCAGGTGGCATATTGACTATATAGCCATCTTCTCGCTTTTTTAGCTCATCTATTATATGACCCCTTTCCATTGGCAGTCAATATTTTGTGCTCTCTAATATGTCTTTAAATTCTTTTAACTTTTAAAATAAGTATTATAAAAGGATACACAAATATATAGTAATAACATACCATAGTTTGCTGTTCACAGTTGAACATCATGATCAGTCAGCTTCTGAGCATTGACTGTTTCATCTGAAGAGCCTTTACGTCAACGATAGCCACTGAACCCCGTGACAATCTCTTTATGACGTGCATACTTGTAACTCATAATTAAAATCATTTTAGTTCTCTTTTTCTTTTCTTCTTCATTTCCTACAATGTCTTGCTCCTTTCTCTTTGTCCATAATTCTATACTTAGGCCTGTCTTGCTAGCTTCTTAAGTTTTACAATTTATTAGTTCTACAGGGTTCTGTGTTGGAATCCAATTCCTTAACATTAAACCCTCTTCCCCGTTATTCCTGTGTTCTTGCAGTTAGCTACTGAGCTCTTGTTTTGGTGATTTTTGTATTCTGGAAAAGAAAAAAGCTTTATAATGACAAATAATTTGGGGTAAAATGTTTCGTATTTTTTTCCTGGAGGTATAGTGGGTTTTGGTGTTGAAGAGTGTCCAGCAGAGAAAACTACTCAAACATGGGTTTAAGACAATAAAGAAAGTCTTTATTAGCTAGCCAGCAACTACACTGGGTATTTGGGATCCCTGTGTAGCCCTGAACCTTCATTGGAATGAGCTTTTAAACACAAAACATTCTGGGTTGATACAACTCAACAGTTAGCTAGAATCAGAACAATTGAAGCCAAAATGCAAAGGTAGTGCATTTAGAGACTTTCCCAGAACTACAAACTGTGCTGAGTTTTATGGACTGAATGGCATCACTTGTGCTAGGATCTGGGAGGGCAGGGCTTACATTGGAAGTAGATTCTTTGTCCTTTAGTTACTAGCTTTGTTCACTGTGTGAATTAATATTGCATATTTATCTCATGGCCAGGCCATTTCTTTTCTTCCTACAAAAAGGGGCTGTCTAGCTTCTAGAGCAGTGATTCTTGCCCTAGGGTAAAATTTGTCCTCAGAAACATTGGGTAAAATTAAGAATGTTTTGGTTGTAACAAATATCACAATAAACTCAGAACTAGCATTTTATTGCTTTGATACTGCTTTACCATTGGCCTTGGATGGCACAAAATCAAGCCAGCCAGGAGGCACTAAGTTGGGAACTGTGCCCATAGCGGACGGCAATGCTGTTCTAAGCAAGGAGTCGGGGCTGCCTGAAGAGTTCCCTAGCAAAATTTCTCAAAAGCCACCAGCCAGGAAGAAATGAAAAAGCCTTCGAAGCAGACCAGTCAAGACGGATTTTTTTTTTTTTTTTGCCTCAAATCTAGGCAAGATGTAGAAACAGTGTGAGGTTATTTACATCGGATCATAGTTAGTCAGCTTCTTTAGTGCGCATAATCCCTCTGTCTCTAAATCGTCTGCTTCCAGGAGGATCCCCGGTCTAACGCTGCCTTGTTTTCTTAGCTGTTTATAGAGCATTGGCATCAGATAAAAAGAAGACAAGGAAGGTGTGAAAGTTTTCTTGCACAACCTTCTATCCTTCTTTCTTTTTGTTTGTTTATTTGGGTGTTTTTTGTTTTTTTGTTTTTTTTTTTTGATTTTTGAGACAGGGTTTCTCTGTGTAGTCCCCCCTGAACTGGAACTTGCTCTGTAGACCAGGTTGGCCTCCAACTCACACAGATCCACCTGCCTCTGCTCCCGAGTGCTGGGATTAAAGGCGTGCACCACCCTCACCCAGCTGTTTTTGCCCTTGAGCAGGAGACAACAGACTTACAGCTCAGACGTAGTTTTCAAAACATAAGGGGGTCCACACACCTCTGTACCTCTGAGCCCCTCTTCCCGCAAATGTGCCTACATGCCTTACAGCGTGTTTCCAACCCAGGAGTAAGCTCTCTCCCCACACCCAAACTCACGCTCCTGTCCTGAAAATGGCACCATGCTCTTTGCTCGCAGGCTCACTTATTCCATCTTCACAGGGCCCCAGAGAAGGCAGCTGAAAAGAGAGGAGCCTTTATAGACAAGATTTGTCAAGAACCAAAACAACCTGGGGCAGGAAAAAGCAACTGGGACACTACGCTCCCTGTACCTGCTACTTTGGGAAGGCTCAGAGATTTGCTAGACTGAATAGACAGAGCTAGTGGCTAGACATAAAGACTCTGAGGTAAGTGACTGCCTGTCCGTGTCTGCCTTTGACTGCAGCACTTTGGGGAGCTAGAGACCAGTCTCAGGCAGATGGAGACTTGCCGGCATGTGACCCAGTGAGCCAGAGAGGGACAGGAAATGCATGAACACCCTTCACCTGCCCAAGCTGTGCCAAACACCGGGGTTCCCAGAAATCTCCAAGAATTTCAAGAAATTCTATGACCTTCTCAATGTGTTTACTTGTGTAGTTAAATAAACCAGCATACATTGGAAGGCGAACAATCTCGCTGTTTTCTGTTTGTTGAAGTTTAGTGAATGACTGACTCACTTGGAGGTAGGCTAAGATTTGGCTGAATTCCATAGTCAGTTCCACAATATCCACCCTCTGTTTCTGAAAGTCGGGGACAGACATGGTGCCAACTTGTGTAAGGGGTTCAAATGGTGATCAGTAAGTTGGACAACCAGCAAATTGGTTTGTTTGTTTTTGAAACAGGGTCTCTCTATGTAGCTCTCTCTGGCTATTCTGGAAATGACTGTGTAGACCAGGCTGGTCCCTGACTCACAGACACCTGCCTAACTCTGTTTCTCTAATGCTGGAATAAGATGTGTGGACCACCATGCCAGATCTTAATAACCTAGAACTTGATCCGTAGGAAGCTTCACCTTAGCCCCACTCCCACCTCTCCAAACCCTGCCCCCTCTCAGAGAGCTCACCAAGCAGCGGCTCCTCCCCTGGAGCTGTTCAAGACTGCATCTACAGGGTATTTAATCTCCTGTCCATAGACCGGTCATGTGATTTCTCCTCTTTCCCCACCTGGGGTTGGGGGGGGTGGCGCCTTGCTCAGATTAAACCTGGTCATTTACCTTTTAATTCAGCTCGATTTGGTTTACTATGACAGTAGAGAAATCAACTACAGGGGATTCAAAATATTTATCCTTTCTTTCTCCCTCTCCCCCTTCACCCTGCCTCCTAAGGAATTGAAGCCAATCCTTCTGCAGGCAAGGCAAGTACTTTACCTCTGAGCTACAATCTAAGTCCTTCCTGATACTTGGTTTTGTTGTTTTGTTCTCTTGAGATAAGATCTGGGCATGTAACTCTGTCTGACCTGGAGCTCTTTATGTAGACCAGGCTGGTCTCAAACTCACAAAGATTCACTTGCCTGGGGCGCCCAAGTGTTGGGATTACAGTATGCCACCATGACCGGTCTGAAAATTGACTTATGGTGAAAATGTGTCAAGGATATGACCTAAACCCCACTTCTACCCTTGGCATGGGACCCTGAAGGCCGTCACTCATGCTGAGTCTCTGACACTCCTCACCAGTTCCAGCCCCTAGCCTACTTCCCTGGTGGGTGACCTCACTACACAGGTGGAAACAATGTGTACTTCAGAGATAATCATCAGTTTGCCTACCACGCTTTAAGCCCTTCTAACCCCTGTAATCCAGAGCTACTGACTAGGCCTCTCCAAGTACTGTTGCCCCATTTCTCAATACCCCCCATTGTTCTCAGTTCCACCACAAGCTGTCCCTTTGAGCCACTAGGTCAAGGTTCCTCCCCTCTGGCTGAATAAGCCGATCATCCTGCATCACAGCCAGGCCTCAGTGTCTTTCTGCTCTGTTAGGACCTCTGAGTTGCTTTTGCTGATAACATGCCTGGCACCGAGTGTACAGGGTCTTCCAACACACTTCACCCACCTGATCTGATGCCGGCTAGGTGTTCTACAGTTCAGGCTAGTTCTGTCACTATATGGAGTTAAATTCAGATCCCATGAGTAAATGTTTCTCAGTTCTGCCTAACTATCCCACTTCAGATGCCCATCACAAATGCCATGTCTTCAAGAAAACTGCTGACTGACTGGCTACAAACTGATGCGTTCCCTTAATACATTTTTCAGGTCTGCTAACTAGTCCCTGGAAGTACTCATGAAATGTATGGACATGATTTATTAACTAGCAGTGGTTTATTATTCAGGATCCGAGGAAGTCAAATGGATGAGGTGCATAGGGCAAGGCATGGGGGGAAGGGGGCAGAGCTTGCATACCTTCTGGGCCCACCACCCTCTCAGAGCAGCAATACGTTCACTAGCCCAGACTCTGGTCAACTTCACCATAGTGGGTTTTATGGAGCTTCCATTCAGCAGGCATAATGGGTTAAACCTCAGCTTCTAGTAATGAACTCACTTGCCAGCTTGTCTCTGATGTGTAGAGTTGGGAATTGGAGCTGTACCCCAGCTGTCTAAGGATGGCTACCTAGATCATGGTCTTCCTGGAGACTAACTCCTGTCCTCTCCACTTGTGCCCTGGGGAGGCCCACATCCTCCTTGGGACCTATTGATACAACTTCTTCTTAGCTCTTGTTATCATGTGGACTTTCAGGCTTGTCCCACTCCAGGTATTCTGTTTGGTAAACAGAAATGGGTAAGATCCACATGGTGGACTCCACTCGTTCGTTGGATGAATAACCATTCCCAGCCCTTTCTTTTCTGCTGTTTCCTTGACTTTGGGTTAGAAAACTTAAACATTCTCTTTCTTAGTATCTAGGGAATGGTAGAATTTTGACCCTGGAGACAGAAGCAGACGTTTCTAAGAATTTAGAGAAAGTATTTTTTTTTTCTCCTTTGGTAAATGAGATAGCACGGTGGTGTGCCTCTTTGCCTTATTCCAAAACTAAAACCTCAGATGCAGCAGAGTGCCTGTGGCCATGTTGGAACTGATAGGGAAGGTGAAAGAAATGAACGTGCTATCCTTGACACTGGGGCTGATGAACTGATGCCAGTAACCCATTGCACTCCGGATTTCATGAGTGAAGACTGGACACAAGAGTTCTCTATAACTTGCAGCTGAAATGAATAACCTCAAAGCAACTCTTACATGAGAACAAGCTTTCTCTCTCTAGACTCTAGAGAAATGCATTTAGCAATATCTTAAGTTATAAATCTCACTAGTTTTATGTAGCCTGAAATTATTTTTTAATTACTTTACACACACCTCAAGTTAAACTGCTTGGTTATGGAAAAATTTAAAATTTCATTCTCCCTGACCAGGGCCTGGGTAATCTGAAAAGTGCTTTTCAAGCACAAAAACCTTTTGATGTGTCATTGTGGCCTCAAATCAGGTAGAACAGGAGAATCTGTACCCTTGAAACAACAAACAAAAACAAAAATCCTACTGTGATTCCCTGTTTACAGAACTGATTCAGCATGACTAAGTGAGCTTATAACCTGACTGCAGAGAACACAGTGATTTGAATCTGTAAACCAGGGGAAAGCCATTTAGTAAAAAATAAAATTGGGTTGACACCACACAATACACATAAGAATAGACTGATTCCAATGGGAAGAGAGAGAAATTAGAAAAAATAATGAAATCAAACACACACTGAAATAAAATGCAGATAAAAAAGTATCATTGAGTATGGGAAAGGATAATTGTAGCAAGTCTTTCTTGGTCCTGCCAGCTCCCAAATAATGACACGGAGACTTCTTGTTAATTACGGAAGCTCGGGCTATAGCTAGTCTTGTTTCTAACTATCTCTTATAATTTAAATTAACCCATATGTTTATTAATCTACAATCTACCACATGGCTTTCACCTCTATCCCATTCTGTATGTCTGACTTGTTTTTCTTCTCTGCCTCGCTTCTTCCCAGAGTCCTCTCTGTGTCTGGAAGTCCTGCCTATACCTCCTGCCTAGCTACTGGCCATTTAGCTCTTTATTTGACCAATCAGAAGGCACCTTGGCAAAGATGCATCTTTAAAGTATACAAAAAGATTATTCTCCCTTGGGTCTAAATAAAAGGTAAGGGTTTAACTCTAACATGGTAAAAAAAAAACTGTGTGTAATAAGAACAATTATCAGGTAAGAATTACATTCACAATGTCTAGTCCATTTGCATTTTGAAAATTCAGAGAAAAACTCTATTATCTATTCTATATTGATGAGTCCCAAGTTTTACACCTAAACCACTTTTTATCATAACTTGTATTACCAACCCAAATTTATCTTTTTAGACCTCAAAACATTTTCTTGGATAAGCTTTTATGTCTCTCAAACCTCATGTGTTTCTTAACCTCCTTTGTGAGTTTCTTCTCTGAATTTGGTAATAAAGAACATTTCAACTCTAACTGTCTTGTCTTCAGTTCCATCAGAGACCTGATAAGGTGCAATATTACCTGAGTAAACAAAAAGTCCATAGCAAACAACTTCCAAAACTATAGAAAGGACAGAGATAGATAACTGCCTGGACAGTCACCCAAGTTCCCTCTGTAACAATGTGGCATTCATCTTCAGTCTACAGGTATACTACAGCTATACTACAGGTCTAGTATAGCTGACAAACTTTCTGTTAAGAAGGAATTTTGAATTTGTCTTGACAAAGTTTGGTAGTTGTCTTCTTTTGTGTCCTACTTGTCCAGCTTGGACAACATATTGTCAGCAGTAGAAGTAAGTGCAGTTTTTTGCCCAGATGGCTAGCTTTGCCTCATAGTAAGCAAACTCCATAGGGAGGTTCTTTGACGCCCATCATCCTTTGTGAAGTAATTGGTGCTACAAGGAACAGATGTATCTCACTGTCATGAATAGCCTTATGTTGTTAAAATATTTTAAATGCCGTATTCCATAAGTCTTTGAAGTGTTTGAAGATTATTTAAAATATATTTGTTTAAACTTGAAAACATATCTAACATGACTACAAGTTTGACTGTAAATGACTAACTACTAACCTACATTTCTTTATTATCCTAAGTAGCTTTTAAGGACTAAAACTTTACATTACAGTTTTTTAAAAAGCTACATAGGTATAATATCTTAAACAAGAATAGAAGGATATATGCAAACCAAACATATCCTTT